CTTTCCAAGTCATGCCCACCTACCCCCCATGCTACCTCCCTTTTTTTTTAAAGTTTTTTAAAATTTTTATTTATTATTTATTTATTTTTTAAAGACATATGGCCATTAATCCCCTTAAAAACAGTCTTCTTTGTTTGTTTTTGGCACTGAGAATCGAACTCAGGACCTTGTGCTTGCCAGGCAGGTGCTGTGCTGCTGAGCCATCTTCCCAGCCCTGCTACCTCCTACTAGCAAGTCAGCTATAGTGCTCCCATGGTCTGTTTTTTTTTTTTTTTTTTTTTTTTTCCCAAAATCCCTTTTCCAAAATTCTCTGAGCTATGAACTCAGAGGATCTTGCAGAACATCTAGATGTAAATCATAACACATGGGAAGTAGAGCTTATTTCTTTATCCTTTTTTAAAGAATATATTCTCATTGTAGAATATATCCATTATAGAAAAAAGAGAAAGACCATCCAGAATTTTCACCATGTAGAAACCACCTTACTGATACATTACATAGTTCAACCCAAATTGTTTCAGATAGTTTGTTTTTCCTTGTTTATTACTTTCCTTGTTTATTACTATAATTTTTCTTGTTTATTACTTCATAGATAGTCCAAGTTTGTGTGTGTATGTGTATTGCTAGGGTTGTGCATGATAGTTATGTTTTTCATTGCTGGCGCAAAATGCCCACTACCCACAAGTTAAGGGAGGAAAAGTTTATTTAGCTCATAGTTTGTAGAGATTTTAGCTCGTAGTCAACAGGCTATAAGGCAGGGCAGCATGGCACAGGACAAGTGGCCCAGAGCAAGGCAGGCAGGAGCAGAAGGCAGCAGGCAGCAACAGCAGTCTACCTTTTTTCTGTGCCTTATTTTTCTTGAGACAGGATCTTACATGCTGGCCTTGAACTCACTATGTAGCCCAGGCTGATCGCGAATGAACTTACGATGATCCTCTTGCCTCACCCTCCTGAGTACCACAATTACAGCCTTGTGCCACCATGCCTGGCCTTTCTGTTGCTTTATAGTCCGTCAACCTATTGATTGGTGCTATTCATACCCAGGGTGAGGCTCCTATTATCCCCATTCTTAATCCCAGTATCTCACCCTTAATCCATATTCACAAACCCGACATCCACCCACCTCTGAAATGCTTCACCTGTGACCATGTGAGGCTTTGGAGGGAATATCTAGATACAAGCCAGAACAGTAGGCCAGTTTTATGGTGCTGAACTACATTCTTCAGCTCCATGTGTTTTTAGATGTACTCAATAGCTTTACCATTCATCATTTCATCTTTAATGATAGCATTGTTTTATTATCTGTACCACAACTTAATTCATAATTTTCCTACTTAAAAGGCTTCCTATTTTTTACTATATAATTGTTATTAAACAACAATTAGAACTCAAAATGTCCAGTAATAATAGTATGATAAATTATGATATGCCTCTAAAATAGATGGAAAATAAAGCCTTTTAAAAAGTGTAATATGTGGGGCTGGGGATTTACCTCAGCGGCATAGCACCTGCTTGGCAAGCGCGATGACATGAGTTCGATTCCTATTACCGGAAAAAAAGCAACAAACAAAACAAAATAAAATAAAAAGTGTAATATAGTGGCATATGTCTATAATCCCAGCTCTCAGAAGGCTGAGGCCTCAGGATTGCCGTGAGTTTGAGGCCAGCCTGAGCTACATAGTGATTTGAAGGCCAGCCCGAACTACATAGTTGAGAGCCTGTCTTAAACCAAAAAAAAAAAAAGAAGGTCAAAGAAAAGAAAAAGAAAAAGATGAGGTAAATATACTAGTGCTAAACTACAAAGTTACTTGACTTCATGGAAGATTATGAGGTTTTAGTGATGCAGTATATGTAAAGCCATATATAATGGTATCTGTACATACTCAGGACTCAAAAACTGTTACTAATGTCAAGATGTAGATCAGTGAAAGAATGCTTGCCTAGTGTGCCTGAGATTCTGGGTTTGATCCTTAGCGCTACAAAAAAACAAACAAAAAAGCTAGTATATTTAGTGGTAGAAAAACATCATAGACCAATACACATATGTATAAAGATCTCAGGTTTGTTTTTCATTTTTTTGTTTTTTTGAGACTCATTATGTAGTCCAGGCTGGTCTTGAACTCCCTTTTGTAGCCCAGGCTGACCTCAAACTCATGGCGATCCTCCTACCTCAGCCTCCCAAATGTTGGGAATACAGGCATTTGCCACCATGCGTGGTTAAAGATCTCGTTTTGCTTTCTGTAAAAAGTGTACTTGTCCAAGCTCAGTCTGGTAGGACACATTGACCCAGCTTTCTGGAACCTAAGGCAAGAAGATTCTAAGTTGGACTGCAGCCTGGGCAACTTCGTGAGACCCTGTCTTAAAGATAAAAAAAAAATAGATGAGGGTATAGGTCATTGGAAAGGCCTGGTGTTCAGTCTTCGTTACTGGGGGAAAAAAGTGCACTTACCTAAATGTTTGTGTTTGTATGTATGAAGACATACATATGTAGTATATAAAAAGACTGTACTGGCTACTGTTGATAACTTCAAAAGGAACTAGAAGGTTGGGGAGGCGCTTTCACTATTTACTGTCATTGTCTAGTTACCTATTTATCTTATAGATATTATATGTAGTGTTATATATTAGTCTTATAGGAAGGCTTTTTTTTTTCAAAAGACATACACACACACACACACACACACACACACACACACACATGCAGAGTACTGATTTAGCTCTGCCTCCCCAACTCAAGGAAAAAAAATGCAATAGTGAGCAAAGAACTTTGATGGCAGGCACAGTAACACATACCTACTACTCAGAAGGCTGAGGCAAGAGGATCACTTAGTCCTATAAATTTATTTATTTATTTATTTATTTCCCGGTACTGGGAATTGACCTCATGACATCGTGCTTGCCAGGCAGGTGCTGTGCCATTGAGCTAAATCCCCAGCCCCCAAGTCCTATAAATTTAAAGATCAGTCTGTGCAACATAGCAAGACCATTGTCAAAAAATAAAAAAAATTTTTGAAGAACCATGTTTCGAATACACTTTTTTGTGATGCTGGGAATCGAACTCAGGACCTTGTGCTTGCCAGACAGGCGCTGTGCCACTGAGCTATACCTCCAGCCCAAGAACCATATTTCTTTGCTGAGGCAGAATGACCAATTTACAGGGAAAGAATGTTATTAGGTATTTCTTACACTGTTTATATTTAGTATTTAACATGTTTTTGTCTATTTGTGGGAAAAATACTTACAAATGAGTTCTGTTACAGAAGAAAGTTTGTAAGTCGGATTCATTTGCAAGTCCAACGGAGTGAGTCTTATATACCTTTGATACAAATATATAATGTAAAGCATAAAAAACACATACAAATACTGCAAATAAACTGTTTTTACTTTTACGGTTACCTTCAGATGGTGGTACACCACAGTTTAACAACTGGCATATCAGGATTGCATGGAGTGAACTGACAAGAAGAGAGTTACTAACTGGAGGAGGGAGGTTTAGGTGGAAGATGGAGCTGAAGGGTCATTAGCAATCGAAGGTGGAGGGCAAGATGGAACTTCACTCACACCTGATGTTGATGGCACAGGTTTTTTGATGGATTCAATTCTCTTTACCCTCTTAAAAAAAGATCCAGTGATGTCTGAGTAGTAGCTCTTTTTTTTCCTCATCATAGATTACTTTGTAGCACTATATGGCATTCTGATGGGCTGCTGCAACCTTTGTGTATCATTCTACATTGGGGTCTTGTGGCTCAAAAACTAGCAGTGCCTCTTCAAGTATAGAAAATCTCCTTGCCATTTCTTGTGCTTTAGATCTCTTGGTTCTTCAGTTCCATTTTCCATTTGACTCTTTTTGTCTTTTTTTTTTTTTTTTGGTTTTTTGGTTTTTCTCCGGTACCAGGAACCGAACTCACGACCTTGCGCTTGCCAGGCAGGCGCTTTGCCGCTGAGCTAAATCCCCAGCCCCTCTTTTTGTCTTTTTGATGGGCCTCTAATTCCATCAGGACCTCACTAGTAAGCTCTTCATGTTCTACAGTAAGGAATTCAGGGAAATTGTCCTCTTGTAGATTTAGCTCCAGCTTCTTACTAAGAGTCACTAAGTTGTTGAAGACCTCTCTGGACTCCTTGACCATTTTCTCAAGTCCATGAACTTCATGAACAAACTGTGAGCAAAGGTTCTTCCACACCCTATTCATAGTGGCAGTGGAAACTTCATGCCAAGCAAAGTTTTTTTTTTAATGGACTTGTAGGAGTTATAGTCCTTCCAAAATTGTTGTGGGGTTGTTCTTGTTTCATCAGTTGCCTGACAAACATGTGATGTAAATAATACTTTTTCAAAGTTGTAATAACTCCGTGTCCATAGATTGCATGAGTGCTGTAGTATTCAGTGGCAGATGCACTTCTTTGATGTTGGGAAAGTCCTCCATGAATTGGGAATGACCTGGTGTATTGTCAAGCAACAGCAGAATATTGAAAGGGATATCTTTCTCCAAATAGTATTTCTGTATTCTTGGGATAAAGTGGTGGAAAGACCAGCCCTGAAGATGACTTTGGAGTTAGTCTTCCCACAAAAGGTAGAGAGCCCTTGGTTATGTTTTTGAGGGCTTTTGAGTACTCTGAATGGGAAACTAAGTCATGGAAGTATTGTAACCAAACAACAGATTAAATTCGTCCTTTGCTGCTTTGAATCCTGGCATCATCTTTTGCTCTTTACTGCTATAACTTCGTTCTGGCATCTTCTTCCAAAACAGTCCTGTCTTATGGATGTTAAAAACCTGTTAAGGTAAATAATTATTGGGGATCTGGCCAAGATCCCCAACTGCCTGTATGAGGGGTATGGTGAAAACATGAAGTAAAGACAAATTTAAATACATGATGGGGGGCTGGAAGGTCCATGCCTCAGGATGGGCAAAGACAAAGATACTCTAAGCTAGCCACTATTTATTAGCCAGTGTAGGGGAGGAGGTAGGGTGGTTTTCCTGGAACAGTGTAGAAGTAGTGGTAGAATGGGCAAGTTTAACATCATAAAGGAAACAAGCCAAGATTCATCCCCACACCTGGGTGCTCATCTCATTGACCAAGAGCAAGATGATTTCTGCATTCCAAAACCAGCACATGAGGCAGGCAAGGTAAAGAGGGTCTAGGACAGACTGTCAATTTACAATTCGTGGTCTTCAACAAATAAGCATCTTCATCAATAATTTCTCTAAGTGTTGATGGAAATTCTTTTTTTTTTTTTTTTTTTTTCCAGTACCGGGAACCGAACTCACAACCTTGTGCTTGCCAGGCAGGCGCTTTTGCCGCTGAGCTAAATCCCCAGCCCCTTTTAGTTTTGTTTGTTTGTTTTTTTTTTTTCCCGAAACAGAAGGATTCCACATGTATTGTTGTTGTTGTTTTTTTGGTTTTTCTCCGGTACCAGGAACCGAACTCACGACCTTGCGCTTGCCAGGCAGGCGCTTTGCCGCTGAGCTAAATCCCCAGCCAAACCAGTAGATTTTTTTTTTTTTTTTTTTTTTTTTTTTTTTTTTTTTTTGGTTTTTCTCCGGTACCGGGAACTGAACTCACGACCTTGCGCTTGCCAGGCAGGCGCTTTGCCACTGAGCTAAATCCCTAGCCCTGATGGAAATTCTTGAAGAGCTATAGTATCTGCACTTGCAGCCACACCACTTACTTCTACATTGTGACGGTTGGCTCTCACCTTGAATCTGTTAAACCATCCAGGGCTGACAATAAAAGATGCACCTTGTTTGCCTCCTTTTTTTCTCTAAGTTTTCAAACAGACTTTTAGCTTTTTCCAGAACAAGCATTAAGCTAAGTGGGAGTAGGTGCCAATACTGATCCTGCGCCCACACACTGAGAAATCTCTGTCATTGCACTCTGCTTTTTGGGTATTGTTGTTGACTTCACTGGCACAGGCAGACTTTATGTGTTCCATGATCTTGTCCTTGTTCTTTAGAATTGTGCCAATGGTCGAACGATTCGTGTTAAAAGAACAAGCAACATCTACCATAAATTTTGCCTCCTTGGTCCAGTCTCTTAATTACTTTCACTTTTGTTTCCATGGATGTTGCTTTGCACTTCCTAGCAGTCCCCACCACACCACCACTGTTTTTCCTCTTGCTTCCAGACATCCTGGGCTCTGAGCACTGTACTGTGTACACTGTTGTACTGTACAGTAAGCACACAGCAGCACAACTGTGATAGTGTCCACCAGACAATGAGTTACTTCCATGACTTGTTCACATCTATGAATGTTTGTGATGTGAAGTCTGTTAGTATCTATGAAAGTTCACAGCTTCAATGTTCATAAGTCTAAGATTTACTCTACCTTTTTTCTTGATTTCTTACGAAGTTGAATTTTTCAGAATATTTGTTTGCTGTATAGATCTTTGTGTTTACATTTTCTGTTTATTAATGTTTTAAATTTTTTTCAGCTACAAATTTTTAAAATATAAGTGTTTAAAGTCAAAAGAGAGATAGGGAATAAACTACTGAACTAACAAAATTTTGGACCTTTTTATTGTGTAAGCATACTAGTAGTTATTATATGCAGAGAATGATATTTTATTCTCCATTTCAACTTTTTTTTGGTACTGTGAATCGAATTCAGGACCTTGTGCTTGCCAGGTAGGCGTCCATTTCAACATTTTCTAAATTGCTTCAATAAAATATTTTTTAATGAAGCTGCCTTTTCTAGGGTACTTCTGAATAGGTCTGTTCCCTCCACCCCCGCCCCCCAATACTAGGGATTGAACTCAAGACCTTTGCAGTGAGCTGTATCCCTCACTATTTTGAGAGAGGGTCATACTCGGTGGCCCAGCATGACCTCCAGTCCACAATCTTCCATCTTAGCCTCCCAGAATTCTGGGATTGTAGTTGTAATCCCAAAGCGTAGCTTTGATGTGTTAAGAAACTTTTGCTGAAGTTCTCCATTGACTCAATCAATATATTCATAATTTACCATTTGGTAATGTTTTGTACACTTATGGAACCTTGCATCCTGCTCTTTCTGAGCATTTTGCCCTCTGTGCCTACTACTCAGCTGCTATGCTAATGTATTTCTGATGTTTTTCTAAGTTGAACCTGTTGCGTCCTGAATATCATGTTGTGTTCTTTCTCAGTTTATTTTATTCTTGTAATTAGAGCTTATCTTCCAGTGGTTTCCTTGCCTGTCTGAAAATGTCTTAATGTTTCCTTATCTCATGGTTAAATTCTAGGTTGAAAAATTTTTTAAAATTTTGTGGTACTGGATATTCAACTGAGGGTGTCATGTATACTAGGCAAGTGTTCTGTGTTCTGCCACTGACTGAGCTGTCATCAGGCCTTCAAAATTTCTTTTTAAATTTTTGAGACAGTGTCTCCTTAAATTGCCCCGGCTGTGTGTGTGTGTGTGGTTCTGGAGTTTGAACCTAGAGCCACTGCACTGAGCTGCATCCACAGCATCCCCTTCCCTTTATTTTTAATTTTTTTTTTTTTTTTTTTTTTTTTTTTTTTGTCTTTTTGAGACAAGGTCTCACTGCAGTTCAGGCTGGCCTTGAGCCACTTTGCAGCCCAGGCTGGTCTCAGACTCGCCTTGATCCTCCTACCTCAGCCTCCCAAGTGCTGGGATTACAGGCGTGTGCCACCACTCCCAGCATTTATTTTATTTTGAGACAGGGTTTCCCGTAGTTGCTAGGTTGCCAGGATGAGCTTGAATTTGTAGTCCTCTTGCTTCAGCCTCCCAAACTGCTGAGATTATAGGCATATACCACCATACCCTGCTATAAATGTTTTCTTATATAACTTTTTATAGTATGATCTTACAATTTTCTAATTTAAGTGAAATTAATTTTTTATATCAGTAGATACTGTTCATTTTTCCTTTCAAATAACTAATCAGTTATATGGACATATTAATCTGAGGGTTATAGCAGGAGTTTACATGCTGAGACTATTTTGTGATGATGATATACCCATGTAAATATTGATCAAAGAAATATGGTGAACTTTACATTTGATCAATGATTGTGGAGTACTGTTGAATCCTCTCATCTAAGAGGAAAACAACTAAGGATCAAGTAGATTAATTTTAAAAGTTGTTTTTATGGTTTAGATTTGTGTGCTTGAGTCTGCTCAACAACAGGCAGCCAATATCCCAATCTTAGAAGAGCAGATTATAAATTTGGAAGCAGAAGTTTCGGCTCAAGATAAAGTTTTGAGGTAAATATATTTCCTATAGCCTTAAAATTTTTCCTATTTCTAGTGGTTGTATCTTGTTAAATCTTGTATTTCACCCTCACTCCAATAAATCTATAATGACCTAGTAGTGCCCAGATGTCCTAGAACTTATTTGATTTTCATTCAGTCAAAACTCTTGGTTACAGGTTATAAGTAGCCTATAGAGACTTAAAAAAGATGCTTATGTACATACTTTTTTTTTTTTCTGATACCGGGAATTGAACTCAGGACCTTGTACTTGCCAGGCAGGTGCTGTGCCACTGAACTATATCCCTGGCCTGTTTATTTATATACTTTTATTAAATATAAATTGGTTTATTTCTTTCCTTATGTAGTAATATATACTCAGTACTTCAGTGGAGTTTAGGAAATAAAATATTAGGAATTGGATACTTTTATCACTTTTCTGCCTAGAATAACATGGGAAATATATGTATATTGAATAGCATATTATAATATTTGAGTAATTCTCAAAGTACAGTTCACATACTAACAGTCTTAGTATGATCTGGGTACTTGTGAGAAATCCAAATTCTCAGCTCCTATCTCAGACTTACTGAGAGGTGGGGCTCAGAACTAACAACTTCTGCAATGATGCTGGTATGTACTAAAGTTGTCATTCAAGTCTTGTCAGTTTTGTAATTTTCTTTGTAATATACATATTATTTTTATGTTTAAAATTTATTCCTAAGGGGCTGGGGATTTAGCTCAGTGGCACAGTGCCTGCCTGACAAGCACAAGGTCGTGAGTTTGATTCCCAGTACCGTAAAAAAAAAAAAAACAAAAACTAAAATTTATTCCTAGACATTTTATAATTTTTGATTATTGTGAGTTTGTTCTTATTCTGTTCATTGCTAGTAGATGGGAAGGTTACTGATATTTTTTTGGAAATGAGGTATTTCTTTGTTACCCTGATTGGCCTTGAACTCCTGGGATTAAATGATTCTCTTGCCTCAGCCTCCTAAGTGGCTAGGACTAACAATGTGCTCCACCATTCCTGGCTTGATTTTTGTGTAGTATAATTGTTTTGTAAGTGGACTATTTTTGACACTCCTATTCCAATAACTTTTCAATTCTCAGTTTTCCAGGTAGGTAATAATATCATCATTAAATAAAGAAAATTTTGTCTTTCTTATCATTATTAGTACTTCTTATTACTTTTTTTTTTTTTTTTTTTACTTTGAGTAGAACTGTCAGAAAAATCTTTGGATGTAGGAATGATAACAATTGTTCTTGTCTTATAATGTTTCTAGTATGTGACCTTTATTGTATAATGAGCCTTCAGGTATATTTCTCACTTGGTGAAAGTAGGTAAAAGTATTCCTTATAAAAACTTTTAATTGAAAATGATGAATATCCTTTTTTCTGTTTTGTTTCTTTTAACTCCCTGATTCAAAGTCATAGAATTTCTAATGTTTCGTTATTGTATACTTGTTGTTATTACTTGTAAGTTTTACTTTATTTTATAGAGAGGCAGAAGATAAATTAGAGCAGAGCCAGAAAATGGTGATTGAAAAAGAACAGAGTTTGCAAGAGTCCAAAGAGGAATGTATAAAGCTGAAGGTAGACTTACTTGAACAAAGTAAACAAGGAAAAAGGTAATGTGTTTCTAAAGCAAATATTTTTGTTTGTTTTCTTGAGAACAGGTCTCTGTGTAGTTCAGGCTGACCTTCAACTCACTATGTAGCCCTGGGTGGTCTTGAATTCACAGCAGTCCTCCTGCCTCAGCCTCCTAAGTGCTAGGATTATGAGTATGTTGCACCACCATACCCAGCTAAAGCAAACAATTTTTTTACTAAGTTTTTAGTACAATTTAGATATACATACATCATAGGAAATTTGTATCTGTACATGATACATCTTAATTCCTTTTTTTCCCCTTCAGCCCCTCTCCCCCTCCTTATTTATAAAGCTTTGTTTCCTATTTATCTTCCTTTTCCCTTCCTTCCTTCCCCCCTCCAGAGTTCCCCTTTCCTTTTGAACAATTTCGTCCTATTTCACAATTTCTTTTATACATTTTGGTTCTTATTTATACGTTCAGTCTCTTATACCAGAGAGACAGTGAGGTATTTATACATATTTGTCCGATTTATTTCACTTAAGACTATGTTTTGAAGGTTATAATAACAGTCTTAAGAGTATAGTCTCAAGGATGATTTCTTTTGCTATGCAAAAGCTTTTTAATAACATGAGATCCTAGCTGGAAATGTCTCAAGTTTATTCTTCTTTATGGCTGAGTAGTATTCCATTGTATAAAAAAAGCTTTTTTTTTTTTTTTGGTTTTGGTTTTGGTTTTGGTTTTGGTTTTTCTCCGGTACCGGGAACCGAACTCACAACCTTGCGCTTGCCAGGCAGGCGCTTTTGCTGCTGAGCTAAATCCCCAGCCTCCAAAAAAGCTTTTTTATGTATTCATCAGTTGATGGGTTGTTTCCAAGATTTAACTATTACAAACTGTGCTGCTATAAACATGGGTGCACATATGTCACTGTGGTATGATGCTTTTAACTCTTTTGAGAAGGTACCGAGAAAGGGAATAGCTGGGTCAAGTGAGACTTTTAATCCTAGTGTTTTGAGGAATCTTTGCACTGGTTTCTACAGTGGTTACACCAGTCTGCACTCCCATCGAAAGGAAAAGGGTTCCTTTTTCCCAGCACCCCATCAGCATTTGTTACTGGTTGGTTTGTTTTGACAGTGGGCATTCTTTCTGGAGTGAGATGGAATCTCAGTGTTGTTTTAATTTGCATCTCTCAAATGACCACAATCTTGAACATTTTTTCATATATTTATTTATTTATATAAACAGTTTAAAAAATTAGACTCCCAAATGTAAAGACCAGTCCAAAATTGGGCATTTGAGATGAATACACAGTTCTCATGAAGAAACACAAGTGGTCAATAAATACGAAAAATTACTCAAACATAGCTGGCTCTTTGAGAAATGCAAATTAAAACAACACTGAGATTCCATCTCACTCCAGAAAGAATGGCTGTCATCAAGTAATCAACCAATAACAAATGCTGGCAAGGCTGTGAGGAAAAAGGAACCCTTCTCCAATGTTGGTGGGATTATAAATTGGTACAAACACTATGGAAATCAGTATGGAGAGTCCTTACACAACTAAAACTAGAGGTTCCATTTGACCTATTTCCCCTTCTAAGTATATTCCTGAAAGATGTCATAACACAGTGATTCATGCATATCCGTGTTATAGCAGCACAATTTATAGTAATTAAATCTTGGAAACAGCCTATATGCCCATCAAGATAAGAAAGTGTGGTATTTATAAACAGTGGGTTACTACTCTACTGCAAAGAAGGCTATCTTAAGGCATTTTTAAGTAATAGATACACCTCAAGACCATAATCTTAAGTGAAATAAGTCAAACACAGAAGTTTAAATATTACAATGTTTTCTTGTGTTAGAACCCCAAAATATAAATAATGAGCAAATTGGAAGGGTAGACATTAAGAAGTAGAAAGAACTTATTCAAATGGGAAGGGATGGGAAGAAGCGGGAGGGAAGGAAAGGAAAAGGGATTTAAAGAAAAAAAAAGAATTGAAAGGTAAAGATGGAAATAGAGCTTTTATAAATGGAGAAGAAAAGTTAGAGAAAATGGGACAAAAAAGAAAAATAATTAAGATGTGTACATGTGGGGCTGGGGATTTAGCTCAGTGGCAAAAGCGCCTGCCTGGCAAGCGCAAGGTCGTGAGTTCGGTTCCCGGTACCGGAGAAAAA